AGGTTCTAGTCCCGGTTGGGGCGCCGGTTCTGTCCCAGTTGCTCCTCTTCCTGTCCAGCTCTCTGCTGTGGCCTGGGAAGGCAGTGGAGGATGGCCCAATTGCTTGGGTCCTGCACCCACATGGGAGACCTGGCTCCTGGCTTCGGATCGGCACAGCGCCGGCTGTAGCAGCCATTTGGGGGGTGAACAAACGTAAGGAAGACTTTTCTCTCTGTCCCTCTCTCTGTCTAACTCTGCCTGGCAAAAAAAAAAAAAAAAAAGAAAGAAAGAAATAATTTCCAAAACCCAGGCACACACAGTATTTTTTTTAAGTACAAACCAACATCCCTTGCGAAAAAGGAGTGAAAATTTTTTAATGAAACCTTAGCAAGTAGAATTTAATGCTATGCAACAAGCATTAGGCACCGCCACCGGGCAGGCTGTTCTAGACATGCGGGGTTGACTCAGCAAACCGTTGTTGGCGGGGGAGCATTTGGTGTAGCAGTTAAGACACTTGGAACACCTGTGTCCTGCAACCAGGAGCCTGGGTTGAAGTCCAGGCTCCGCTTCCAATTCCAGCTCCCTTCTGAGGCCTGGCTGTCAGGAAATCGCAATCACTGCAATCAGACAGTATAAGAAAGGACATACAGAAAGAATAAAGGATCTCCCTATTTGCAGATGACTTGATTGTGTAAAAAAATCCTAAAGGATCTACAGACAAATGAAATGAGCAAGAACCTCCAGAACTAACAAGTAATTCTAAAAAATCACAGGATACAAGATGAGTTCATCAAAATCAGTGCTGTTTCTAGGGGCCAGCGCTGTATGGTTCTGGTCCCGGCTGCTCCACTTCTGATCCAGCTCTCTGCTATGGCCTGGGAAAACAGTGGAATATGCCCCAAGTCCTTGGGCCCTGCACCCACGTAGGAGACCGGGAGGAGGCGCCTGGCTCCTGGCTTCAGATCGGCGCAGCTCCGGCCATTGCAGCCATTTGCAGAGTGCACCAAGGGAAGGAAGACCTTTCTGTCTCTCCCTCTCACTGTCTGTAACTCTACCTCTCAAATAAAATAAATCTTTTTTAAAAAAAATCAGTGCTGTTTCTAGATACTAGCAACAAACATGTGGATATCCAGATTGAAAATACAGTGCCGACTGCAACCATTGACAACAGAATAAGTGCCTAGGTGTGAATTCAACAGAACAAGTATAGAATCTGCATGCTGACAACTGAAAACAGGTGAAAGAATCAGATGTACATAAACGTAATTGATGATTAAATACTGGATTTGTGGAAGTATGTCAGTCCTCTGCAGTTCGTATCAGAATCCCAGCAGAATCTGTGTAATCATAGAAGATTATTCTAAAATTTATATGAAAAGCAAAGGAGCAGGGCCAGCACCATGACTCACTTGGTTAATCCTCTGCCTGCGGCGCCGCCATCCCATATGGGCACCAGGTTCTAGTCCTGGTTGCTCCTCTTCCAGTCCAGCTCTCTGCTGTGGCCCAGGAGGGCAGTGGAGGATGGCCCAAGTGCTTGGGCCCCTGCACCTGCATGGGAGACCAGGAAGAAGCACCTGGCTCCTGGCTTCGGATCAGCACAGCACCGGTTATAGCAGCCATTAGGGGAGTGAACCAATGTAAGGAAGACCTTTCTCTCTGTCTCTCTCTCTTTCTCTTTCTCACTGTCTATAACTCTACCTGTTAAATAAAAAAAAAAAAAAAAGAAAAGGAGCTTGAATAGCTAAAAACAAAAGAATAAATATGTGAGAAGGATCAGTGTGTCTGAGATTTTTAAGTTCATTTTATTTGAAAAGCAGAGAGACAGAGGGAGGGCAAGATATGGATGAAGAGAGATCTTCCATCCACCAGTTCACTCCCCAAATGCCCAGCAGAGCCAGGGCCAGGCCAGGCTGGAGCCAGCAGCCAGCAGCCAGGAGCTCCGTCCCGTCTCCCACATGGGCAGAAGGGCACCTGAGCCGCGATCTGCTGCCTCCCAGGTGGGCCAGCAGGAAACTGGCTCAGAAGCAGAGGAGCCAGCGCTGCAGCCCAGCACGGACTCCACAGCCACACCGGGCACCTGCCCAGGGCTTGACCACACCGCCATGGAGTGTGTGCTGGGTTCACGGAGATGACCCACAGTCAATGGAGGGGCAGAGATGGCATGGAAATAGACTCACACAGATATGCCTGATGGATGTTTAACAAAGATAAAAGAATGGTTCGATGCAGGGCACATAGTAACCTTTTCAGCAAATAGAGATGGAGCCCAGGGACGTCCACGGACAGGGAGCCTCGGGCTGGGGCAGTCAGGTGGGAGGGGCAGAGATCGGTGCGGGCGGCTGTGTACTTGCTGGCCATGAAAAGCTAGGGGTTGGGAGCAGTCCTGTACTCTTTCTGTAACTCTGCCTTTCAAATAGATAAAAATTTTTAAAAGATTATTTTATATACTTAAAAGGCAGAGTTACAGAGGAGCAGAGAGGGAGAGAGGTCTTCCATCCACTGCTTCACTCCCTACGTGGCCACAACAGCCAGGGCTAGGCCAGGTCAAAGCCAGGAGCTTCTTCCAGGTCTCCCATGTGGGTGCAGGGGCCCAAGGACTTGCATCATCTTCTACTGCTTTCCCAGGCAGAGAGCTGGTTCGGCAGAGGAGCAGCCAGGACTCAAACCAACGCACTGCAGGCGGTGGCCTTACCAGCTACACCACATCTCCAGCCCCATAAAATAACCTTTTTTAAAAAACTAACCAACTCGGAGGCTGGCACTACGGTGTAGTAGGCTCAGTCTCTGTGGCACTGGCATCCCATATGGGCTCTGTTGTAAGTCCTGGCTGTGCCTCTTCGGATCTAGCCTCTGCTGTGGCCTGGGAAAGCAGTGGAAGATGACCCAAGGCTTGGGCCCCTGCACCCACGTGGGAGACCCAGAATAAGCTCCTGGATCCTGGCTTCAGATCAGCCCAGCCCCGGCTATTGTGGCCATTTGGGAAGTGAACCAGCGGATGGAAGGCCTTTCTCTGTGTCTGTCCTTCTCTCTGTGTCTGTAACTCTACCTTCCAAATAAATAAATAAAATCTTAAAAAAAAAAAGAAAGAACCAACTCTGGTAAGAGAATGAAAAGACAAACTGTAGTCTCTGAGAAAGGATTTGCAAGCTACAAAATCTGAGCAAGCACCCAGTCCCCAGAACCAGCGAGACATGGGCCCCTCCTCCTGGCCCTGTCCTCTCGTTCAACTGGAAGACGTGCAGGGGTGAGGTGGAGCCAGGGCCTTTGTGGGGTGGGGGGCGGTCTGGGGAGGAGGCTGCCACGTGAGGGCCGATGGGCCGGGGCCACCTGCCCTTGGCCAAGCTGCGGGGACACGGGGAAACAGCTGGCCGGCTTGTGTTTTGTGTCCAAGTGAGGAGCGTGGTGTGGAACATGAGAAAGGCAGCCTCACAACGCACGCGGTGCACGGTTATCCGTCCTGGGATCTGTCCTGGCCCCCACTGGCCCCAGGGGATCCCAGGCAGAGCCAAGGCTGCAGGAAACGCCAGCGCCCTCTACTGGCCCCCGTGGGTCCTTCTGCCCCGGGGGCTAGGCTGGGGCTGCACAGGGAAGAACTGTCGCAGCTCAGCTGCAAAGACAAACCAGTGAATCAACCGTCCAGCTGCGAGAAGAGCAAAAGCCTGGGAGCCACATTTCTCGAAGGACGGCGGGCAGATGGCCGACAAGCTACGGAAAGGTGCCCACGTCAGGAGTCAGCGGGGAAGCCGGCCCCGGGGAGAAAGGCTGAGGTTGGACTTCAGGAGCACACCAGTGCCCCTGAGCATGCTGGGGGCCAGGGCACTGGGCTCTGCTGGCGGCCAGGGGAACAGTCTCCCCACTCTGGGGGCACTTTGGCCGCCTCTTACCAGGCGCTGCTCTGGGGTGTGTACCCCAATAGAGGGAAATACGTTCACACAAAACACCTGTGCCTGAGTGTTGATGAAAAACCAGACACGGGGGTAACCCAGCCGGGGCAGGCCTGTGCCGTGGGGCACCTCAGTCAGGGAGGCACACAGCAGCCTGGCTGGGTTTCCAGAAAACCGGGCTGACTTTTTACAGTGGCATGAGGTGTGGGTCCACTGCTATGACATCATAGAAGGGACGGTGTTACGGAGGGAGCAGGATGGAGGTCAGAAGGGGCAGGGGAGCGGCTGGGGAGGGACCGGGGGGAGGCTGCGGCGGAGGAGCAGCTGTGGCAGTGGGCACACAGCACCCGGAAGGCTGGCGCGGTCTCAGCCCGCTGTGGATGGTCCAGGTCGCGTGCATGGTTTGAGTGAGTGCTACAACCCTGCAAGATGTTGGGCCTGGGGTGACAGGGGGGTTCACAGGACCTCCCCTTACACTGCTTTGCAACTTCCTGTGATGCAGTAACTGTTTCACAGTGAGAAGTAATAGATAGATGTGGATGGATGGGTAGACGAATACTTGATAGAGCAGAGGAGTAAACGCTGAGTTGGTTGGGTGACAAATAGAATGACTGATTGCCGACAGATGGAGGGTAGATGACAGATGACAGACAGAGGCAGCCTGGCGCAGAGCTGTGTCGGATCCAGTCTTCCGTGGGTTCTGTTTCGGTTGCCCCCCAAGAAGCTCCGGGCAGGTGTGATCCTGCCCTCCAGGTGGGAGAGCAGGGACTCCGAAAGGCTAAGCTGTTTGTGCGTGCCCACCCCCTGGGCCACTGCCCACGCCCCTGTGCCCTGGCCACTGGCAGGGAGGCCACCTGCTGGGGGACTCGCTTCCCTGGAGGGACCCTGTAGACACGTGGAGAAGATCTGGATGCCGAGTACGGGGGCAGGTCCTGTGTCTCTGGGTCAGTCTTGGGAGGGAGGCCGGGGAAGGGACAGCCCTGCTTCTCCTGTGTCCACCCCACCTGCCCTTGGCCCTGGCCCTGGCCCAGAGGTCGTGGCTGAACCCCATGTGCCACCCACACCCTCCTTTCTGACCTGGGTGCGCCCCGCCCTGGCTGCCCACCCCTGACCCGTGCTGTCTCTTGCCTCTTCCAGAGCTGAACACCGTCACCCAGTCTCCAGAGCCAGCAAGACATGGGCCCCCTTCCCCCGGCCCTGAGTCCACTCATTTAACTGGAAGACGTGCAGGGGTAAGTTGGAGCCGGGGCCTTTGTGGGGTGGGGGGCGGTCTGGGGAGGAGGCTGCCACATGAGGGCCGACGGGCTGGGGCCACCTGCCCTCGGCCAAGCTGCGGGGACACAGGGAAACCGCCAGGCGGCTGGTGTTGTGTCCGAGTGAGGAGCATGGTGTGGAACGTGGGAGCAGGCAGCCTCACGATGCATGCGCGTGGTTACCCGTCCCGGGATCTGTCCCGGGCCCCACTGGCCCTGGGGAGCCCAGGCAGAGCTGAGGCAGCAGGAAATGCCAGCACCCTCCACTGGCCCCCATTGGTCCTTCTGCCCTGGGGACCAGGCCTGGGCTGCACAGGGAGCCTCAGGGTGGGGCAGTCAGGTGGGAGGAGCAGAGGCCCATGGTGGCGATTGTGTGTTTGGTGGTCGTGCAAAGCTCAGGGTCTGGAGCTGGAGCGGTCCTGCACCTGGCAGCCCCTCTGGGGGGCAGCAGCAGGCTCTGGGGAGAGCCAGGCAGAGCTAGCCTGGGGGAAAGCGCGGAGCAGAGCAGCTGGGCACGGCAGGTGCCTGGCGCGGGAAGGTGCAGGGGGCAGTGTGCCAGCCCTGGGGTGGCTCTGGGAGACTTCTCTGGCACCTTTGTGGGCTCAGCCACATCTTGCTCTGTGTCCCTGAGCCCTTCATATGGGCCTCTGTCACTGCCTGGCCCGGCCCCGCTGGCGTTACAGAGGCATTGAACCTGGCCATCCACGCCGCACATGCCCTGTTACACAAGAGCCAGGGCCCTGGGCGGCATCCCATCCAGCCTTCCCAGGTGGCACCGCCAGCCCTCTGCACAGACGAAAAGACCTAGAGCCAGGGAGAAGCAGCTCCCCGGCCAGGACACCCCTGGCAGTGCGAGGGCAGCTGCACCTGCCGGCACGCACCCTGCAGGTCGGCTGGCCGTGGGCCTCTCTCCCTGCCCTCTCGCTTCTCTGGAGGTTGGTTTATCACCCAGGCACGTGGGGGCCAGCCAGACTGTTTCCCACCCCGGCACAGAATCGGCCCGCATTTACTGAATGCCGTCTCCTGTATAGTAAATGATTGACATCCTGGGGCCCAAGTGTGAGCGTCGAGACCCAGCAGCTCCTGGCAGGTGGGGGGAGGTTGAGGAGGCCACAGGGAGCCATCCCCGGGGGAGGCGGTGGCACGTCCCGCTCCCGAGGTGGGTGGAGGGGCCACCCGTGCCGGTCAGAAGCGTGCAGCTGGCAACCAGGCCGTGGCATTTCCCGTGGGCTTCGGCCTGTTCTGTTATGTAAGTGCCGAGATGCGCCGTCTTCCCCCCTCCCCCAGGGCACTTGAAACCGGGCTCAGGGCTCAGCTCTGCTTTCGTGTGCAGGGGCTTCGTGAGCACCTGCTCCGACTCCTGATAACCCCCAGGTGCCCTTGGGCCTGGAACAAGAGAGACCCTGGCCTGGATGCTGAGCGGGCCGGAGAGCACCTGAATCAGGAAGAGGCTTCGGAGCAGGAAGGGCCCTGGAAGAGAGCATGGGAGGCGGCAGGGTAGAGAGAACAGAGGCCTGGGACCCTCGGGAAGGCTCCGCTCCGGCGGCTGTGAGCAGCAGCCAGGAGGGCAGAGCTGCTAGGGGAGGGTGCGCAGGGCCCCAGGCAGGCCGTGTGGGCAGAGGATCTGGGCTGTGACCGACGGGCAGTGGAGACGCCCTGGAGGGGCCAGCGGTCGGGTGGGTGCCTGAGCGGCCGCGCCTGTGCAGCCAGGAGAGGACGGGAACAGGGCCGGCCCCCGGCTCTAGGCCTGGGCTGCTGGGTGGGCGGAATCAGGGCCCCGGGCTCCAAATGGTGACCTCCCTGCCGCGGAAGCAGCTCTGTCCAAGGCAGCCCTGAGTTTCTCTCGGGGCAGTGTGGAGGGCTTGGCCGGACAGCCAGGAGGAGCCACTGGCCCTGACCGAGAGCCCGTGACACGCCTGGCTGCGCTATCCCGGTTCCCCAGGAGCGGAAACCAGGGCACGGAGTGGCTGTGTCACGTGGCCGGGCCACTCAGCTGGGAGGTAGCAACCGGGGCTGTGTGGCTGCGCACGGATGCCCTCCGTCCCTGCCGGCTGAGCGAGTGTACCAGACAGCAGGGGTGGAGACAGCGCAGCGGGCACTGAACTCAAAGCGCTTTAGCGACAGGAGTCCCTTCGTCCCCACAGCCTGCCTGTGGGGTGGGCAAACCAACTGTCCCATTTTACAGGGGAGGGGTGCGAGCACTGAGCGTTAACCCAGGCTGGATTTGAACCCCAGGGCAGTCTGGCTCTGCGCTCCAGGCTTACAGCAAAATGCAGTGAAAGTGGAGGAAGTGGCAGCTGGTGGCAGCCAGGGTCCCTCTGGGCTCTGTCTGCATGTCCAAGCCGGGAAGCCACCAGGCCTGAGCAGCCTCCTGTATCCTGGGGAGGGGCCCGTGGGTCGGGGACAGCCCTCTGGGAGCTGTGGGAGACCTCAGAGACTGAACTCGTCCTCCTTGGAAAGAGGGGGCCTCCATGTCGTCACGGGCAGAGCACTGCCAGCCCCACTCCCAGTGCGCCACCCGCGCTCTCCGCGGCTGCCCGGTTCCCTGGAGGAGTGGGCCGAGGACGGGCCTCGAGTGCCAGAGTCAAATGCCCGGGCTCTGAGCCTGGGCCCCCGTGTCTCCCCAGCTCTGTGACGGTCAGGCAGCGAGCCCACGGGCCCACGGCAGCCTGCCTCCCCCTCTCTGCCGCCCTCTGCCCCTCGGCCGTGGCATACAGTAGGCGCTCAGCACTTGCAGTGGGTGGCAGGGCAGGGCGTCGGCTGCAGGAAGCTGAGGGTTGGAGGCGGGGCCAGGAGCAGAAGCAGACGTTTTGAAGAGCGTCTGCGAAATGGAATTGAAAGGTTGCGGATACTTCTGCGCAGGAGGGGCGCGGAACCCTCGCGTGCCTTCTCCCGAGCGCCACCACCGGCATGTCTGTTGGTCCATGTTCTAGATCTTTCTGCAGTGTCCTCATCCAGTTACAAGTTTGCGCCTCCCGTGGGGTGGGGGTGGGAGTCATGGGGCTGGAGCGCCGGCCATCACCACCCAGCCACGGGCTCATGGGAGCCCCCGGCACCAGCGTCCCCACACTGGCTCCGTCCAGAGGTTCTCTCTGTGTAGATCTGGACCCAGACCCGAGCCGGGTTTCACGGAGTGGAAAGCTGGGGGCCGCGGGAGTCCCCAGGGTGGGTGCAGTCCGTGCCAGCCATCCGGCCGTCCTGCACCATGACGTCTCAGCACCATGACAAGTGAGCAGCATCTCACAGATGGGAGGAACAGGGGCGCGTCCTGGACAACCGAGGTGTTTCAAATAAACACGCAGAGGACACGTTCAGGCCCCGAGTGAGGGAGCCAGCAAGGACGGGCCTCGGGCCGAGAGGCAGGTGGGTAGGGGACTGAGAGGCAGGTGGGTAGGGGACTCTGTTACCTCTTTTCCCTTTAGTCCAGAGAGACTTCCTGGAGGAGGCGAGATTCTGGGCCCTTTGGCCCAGGCTCATGCCAGCCGTTCCCCCCACGTGGGTTGTTTCTTTGAAGCCGCCTTCCTGGGCTGGGCCAGGCGCGTGTGGCCATGCTCCCGCTGCGTTCCCAGGGCCAACCGGTGGTACAGGGCGTCCTCGGAACAAAAGCACTTCCAGGTAAGCAGGGCCCAAGCCAGGGTGCCGCTGATAGGATCAGGAGCCTCACGCTCACATGAGCGGCGTCCCAGGAGGAGGCCAGGGGCTCGGAGAAATGCCCGTCACCCACGTGGCTCTGGCAGAGGCCGCTGCCCCATCAGCCACGGCGCCGGGGAGCCCCAGATGCGCTCCTCAGCCCCTCCCCACCCGGCATCCTCCTCGTTGCTCCCCCGGCCAGAAAGGGAGGCGCCGTGGCCACCTCGTGGGGTGCGACTTCGGGCCGTGGCTGTTGCTGCTGGAACTGAGAGGTCGTGGGAGGTTTGTGCGCTGTCCGGGGGCCCAGCGAGAACCCTGCGGGATGCACTGCCGGCTCCAGCCCAGGTATGGGAGGCTGGGGCCCTGCCGTGGTCCCCTCGGGCCGGCATCTGCAGGGCAGGGAGGGGGGTTGTTGAGGGGGGCCTGCCTGGCTTTGAGTCCTGGGTGTGGAGGGGGAGCCTGGCCCAGACGGGCCCAGGAGGGGTGCCGGGGGCAAGGGGCCATCTCTGGCCTCACCCTGCTCCCTAGGGAGTCTGTGAGGGACGCTCTGCAGGCTGGTGGCCCTGGCTCAAGTCCTGTCACTGCCTGTCGCTTTGGACATTTACCTCACTCTCACTGTGCCTCCGTCTTCCGCCGTGTAAAGTGGGGGTGGTGACAACAACCGCTAAGGCAGGTGGAGCCCCTCGGCACAGGCCAGGGCACAGGTGCGCCTGCAGGGGAGGCAGCCTGGGCTAAGCCAGGGTGGCCACAGTCAGGGTTCGGATCTGTGTCTGCAAACTTCTTAACTCAGAGACATCAGCCAAGGTCTTGATGCTCTGACCCCATTTTTTTTTTTTTTTTTTTTTTTTTTTTGTAATGCACGAAACAAAGATGAAAATAGGACCTGCCTGGGGGGAGGGGTGGGGTACGTGCAAGGGTGGAAATAAGCCGCGTGCTCCTGTGGCCCAGAGTGGCCCTGCTCTCGTCCCGCCACCGTCATGGCTGTGTTGCTCGTGTTCTGAGCGCTGGGACAGGCGTCCTTGGCAGGTGCCCAGCTGGCCTCCACCCCTGCCAGTGCTCTCCCCGCTCCCCCTGCCGCCTCGCTGGTCCTCCCAGGTGTTTGCCACCCCATCTGCGTCCGTTTGTCCAGGTGACAGCCCGGTGTCGTCCCAGCAACAGGTCACTGTGAACTTCGGGGGAGGGGTCTGTCTCCCACTGACCTCACTGGCTCTGGGCACAGGGGATACCAGCAGCCCCTCAAGAGGCTGGGCCAGCAGGGAGCCTGGCGGGGAGTTGACAGCCCCTCTCAAAAGCCCCCCAGCCCCCCTCCTACTTTTCCCAGGGACCCTCAGCCAGGGAGATTGCCTGGGGGAGGCAGGATACAGATTTGGGGACAAAAGCTGGAACCCACACAGCTCCCTGCACCCCTGGAGCCTTCTCCGGAACAGAAAGGTCAGGGTCCCGGCATCCAGCAAAGCGTCCCCGGGCTCTGGGGCCGGCCCTGGAGGGGCGTGCGGGGGCCTCCTGTTCTGTTTGCGGGGTGAGCCCCCTGGCTGCCGCTCGCCGTCCCTTCTGCTTCCTGGCTGTCCCTGGCCAAGAGGGCCACGTGGAGAGGAAGGAAGGAGGAAGGGGCTTGCGTTAGGGAGGAAGAAGACACACCTGATTCGATAAGCGTGACCTGAGCAGTCCTGACGGTCACTCCCATCTGCTGGACGCCAGGGGCTGGGCCAGGACCCTGCGTCATCCGGTTCACCTTCACCACGGCCTCGCGAGGTAGGGAGGGCGACTGCACCCGTCTCGCGGACGAGGAGAGGCAATGACGGAGGCTTGTGCATCTGCCATGTAGTAACTACAGGTGCCGAGCACGAGAGGATGAAGCAGTCCCAGTGGAATGCGATAGGGAGTGCTGGGGACTATGGCAAACTTGAGAGTCGTACAGTTGCTGTTTAGTTTGTGTTTTGGGAGAGGTGTGAGATACCAGTCCCTCCCAGCCTGCTTCAGGAAGTTTTTAGGCGAGAGAATTAAAAGGTAGGTTTACTTTGGTGTTTAAAAATTTTGAAATCCATGCATATGAGGGCATTTTTATAAAAAATTTGTGAAAAAATGCATGTTATAAAAAACTTTGCATGGATTTCAGAAGTATTTGCACCAAAACAGGATGGCACCTTCCCGGGGCGTGCAGCACCCTGCAGAGGTCTGTCGCAGGGGCAGTGCAGGCACAAGGTCTCAGCTGGGTGTTGCAGGGATGCAGGGCTGGACAGACAGATGGATGCGTGGATAGCCGGGTGGACGAGGGAGGAGCTGAGCGGTGTGGCGGCCAGCGGCGGGGCAGCAGGAGCCTGCGAGCATACCCAGAACACAGACCCTGCGGGCAGACGCCGGGACCACGCTCCGGCTGCCGCCTCCAGCGTGTGGCTCCGGACGGGTCCCTTCCCTTCCCCGGGCCTTCATCTTCACACGGGCCTGGTAGTGGCACCTGCGTCTCCCTGGCTGTGGAGAGGACTAGCAAGTCGATTGACAGGACGGGGGAGGTATTAACTATGAAACTATGAGAGACGAGGGGCGGGTGTGGTTGATGATTGAGTTTCTGTATTTCGAGATGGACATGTGGCCTGGGTCCTGGACTCACCACTCGCCAGAAAAGCGAGCAGGCAGAGCACAGTCCCAGCGCCACCCCCGCTGTGTGCTCGGCCCAGGAGGGTAACCTCTGTCCTCGGTGGCCTCGTCTGTAAAATGGGTGTGATAACAGGAGAATCTGGCTGTCGGCTGTGTGCACGGTGCTCAGACTGTACCTGCTACGTGCAAACCACCTGCTAGCATCCAGCGTGTATGCTGAATGACTGGGAAGGCTTTGTGCCAGGAGCTCAGCCCCGCCTCAAAGGGGCCGCGTGTTCAGGAGAGGGTCTGGGTGTTGTGGCCTCGCCCCCGGAAGCCCCGTGAGAAACCACCCCTAACGAGGCCAGGCAGGGAGACCCGAGCGGGGGGCCATCGGATGCCCATGGCGGTTGCCTCCCCACCCCCAGCTGACCCCGGGATATTTTCAACCAGAAATCTGGATTCTTCTGTGCAGTCCTCCAGTTCTCAAACGTTGGCATTTAATTCAACTTTATTTTAAGCTCCGAGCAAAACAAACAAATTTATTTTAAGCCGGCTGCTCTCACAGCGGCTGGTGCGCGGCTGCCTCCCGAGTCTCGCCCTGCCAGCTCGCTGCCTTTATCTTTTCCTGCCTCTCAGGAGGATGCCGAGGCCCAGGGAGAGACGCCTGGGCTCCGGTGGGTGACCGCTCAGCGCCCCTCCCCCACCCCGGTCCATCACGCACACAGGACCCGGTGGGGGAGGGCAGGGCGAGGGGGCTTCCCCCCAGACCAGGCAGGGGCTTCCAGTGGCGCAGTTGAAACGAGACGTAGACCAAGCAGGCTCCGCTGGCGCCAGCATCCGGGGCCACTTGGGAAGCTTTGCAGGGTTCACAGCTCCTGGCCAGCGCGGTGGGAGCCGAGCGCCTTCCAGGGGCAAGAGGGGTTGCTGCGTGAGGCAGGGGCTGAGGAAAGAGGGGGCACGTCCAGGGTCACTTGGAGTTTGGAGGCAGAGGCTTCATTTACAGGCTCATCGTGCTCTGAGCTTGCGTTGGTTTTCCTTCTTCCTTCCTTTCCTGTTAGACTACTCCTCAGTGCCCTTTCTGCGCCTGCGCTTCCCCATCTGTAAGGTGGGGTGAGGAATCGTCCGCTCTCCCTGCTGTCTGAGATGGGGGTGCACACACAGAGGCTTCAACAGCAGAGCAGAGGCCCGGCAGCGTGGCCAGTGCTCACCCCCCAGCGGCGCCCAGGGCCCCCGCACTGAGCCTTGCTTTCCCGCCCATGTGGGGCCCTGTCTGAAGAATCAGGTGCACCTGCCAACTGCGGAGCGCCCTGTGTGCCACGTCCTGTTCTAGACCTTTCCACCCACATCCTCTCCCTTAACTCCCAGAGCAGCGCTGGGAAGCCAGCAGCAGCAGCAGCAGCTTTGCAGAGAGACTGCAGACAGGGAGGGACCTTGGTGCATCCAGGTAAACAGCAGGTGCAGAAGTGACCTTGAGCAAGTCCCGTCGCCGTGCTGCGCCCCTGACTTCCTCATCAGCGTGAGCAGGTGCAGGACACCCAGCCAGGGCTGCTGTGAGGGCCCAGAAAGGGGCCGTCAGCTGAAAACCCCACCAAGCAGGCAGTGTCCCTGTGAGCCCCTCCGGCCTGCCCCTCTCTGGAACGTGGCGCATTGGGGCACGGAGACAAGTGCCTTCAAATGTCCCTGCTTCTGGGCAGTTTCCTCCCTCCAGCAAGCAGGGCCACGGCTGTCCTCAGTGGGCGAGACAGCACAGGGGAGACGGGGTCCCCGGGGAGGGCTCACGCACTGAAAGCAGAGGTGTACATCAGATCCTAGCTCTTCTGCTCAGCGGCTGGGTGGCCTGGAGCCAGCGACTTAACCTCTCTGAGCCTCATACAGAGCGTCGTTCTGGAGGGGGATGAACAGCCAGGAGACGTGAAGCGGGAGGATCCGCAGACACCCGGTGGGAGCAGTGCCAGGGCCAGACTGGGCTGCAGACCTGGGCCTGGGGGCGGGGCGGAAACCAAACAAGGGGCTCTCGGGGCAGGGTGCTCTGAGAATCCAGAAGGGAATGCAGTGCACACACAGGGGAGGAGGCTGGTCACGGGCACACAGGGCACACACAGGGCACACACAGGAGGCTGGTCACGGGCACACAGGGCACACACACAGGGGAGGAGGCTGGTCACGGGCACACAGGGCACACACAGGGGAGGAGGCTGGTCACTGGCACACAGGGCACACACAGGGGAGAAGGCTGGTCACGGGCACACAGGGCACACACGGGGGAGGAGGCTGGTCACGGGCACACAGGGCACACACAGGGGAGGAACCTGGTCAC